GCGTCTTTTAGCGATATCTGGGAGATTTTTCAGAAGATTGAATTTAATCATATCGCTTCCCGGTGAGGAGTTGTTCGATGAAAGAAGAGCCATAGAGAAATCCAGCAATAAGAATGGTCTATCCAGAGAGCCGCCGCTAGGAGACGCTTCTCGAAGAATATTTTGTGCTGGAACTGAGTCCGGACAGACCTTTTTAGCGAAATCGAATATCCATCGGTTGGAGTATTCTTCACTTTCATTAGAAGATGAGCGGTTACGCATGTTGCGAGCCACCCTCCACAAGGTGTTCATTGAGGTTTCTCGTGAGAGTCCCTCGACGAAATTGCGCCAATAACCGCGTTTCTTTTCTTTGACTAATTGTTTCAGCTTTGTCTCAAGCTTTGAATATTCCTCAAAGTATGTGGAGGTTTTGGGTCTACGAAAAGCTTTGAAAGCATCAGATTTTTCTACATACAATTTTGTGCATTCTTCGTCCCATCCAGGTGTGGCTGGTCTCCTTTTGAAGGGCGCACTTGGAACTTTTCTTTTTAGTGCTTCCAGTGAGCTTTTGTATATCAAATCGGCGATGAATCGATATTCTTCCAATGGTGGAAGCGTATCTATTGATTCGGCACCGATTGTCACCGCCGTTGCATATTTATGCCAATCTATGTTCCTTGTAAGATCAAATGGAACTCGAGATGGTTCTACAGAGTGAGGGGCACACTTAATTGAAATGATGATTGGCAAATGATCGCTACCATGGGGATCATTGATAACCTTCCACAGACAATCCAATGATAGCGATCTAGAACACAAAGATAGGTCGAGTCGGCTTTCTCGAGCCGGAGGTTTTGCTATACGTGTCGCTTCACCAGTGTTTAAAATAGTCAAGTTGAAATCGTCGCATAAATCGTAAAAAATAGCCGCTCTATTGTCGTCATATAGATCGCCCCACCCAGTACCATGGGAGTTCATATAACCCAGAATCAATACTGGAGATGGAAGAATCGAAACAAGATTCCAGAGTTGACTACGGCTAATGGAGGTTCTTGGTGGAACATAAACTGAAGCTATGCAAAGATTTTTGTTCTTCACATTTATTTGGCAAGCGACGATTTCGACGCCTGATAGAGCAGGAAGGGACATTTTGTAGAAAGGGTAGCACTTTTTGATCCCTAAAAGTACTCCTCCATAAGAATCGTCTCTATCCAGGCTAATAATGTTAAAATCGTGGAAGTTGAGTTCTTTATCGGAAGAAAGCCATGTTTCACAGAGAGCAAATATATCACAATCAGAATTGTGAAGTAAAAATTTGAATGAGTCTAGTTTAGGCACTAGACTACGGCAGTTCCACTGTAGCACAGTGATCCACTTCAAACTGTTCATCTTATACTCAATTCAACTATAACTTTGATCAATTATAACAACTGTCAAATGTAATTTATTTATATAATTTGGTTTCAAGTGATCATCATCAATTCACATACTTTTAACTTGTGATGCGTAGAGCAGGCGATAAGATAGCTGGCTCTCACGCAGATGAACACGGTTAAAATCGAAGTTGAATATTCTTGTTCACTTTTTTATGATTTTGCTGTTGTGTTTTTGAGATCGATAAAGAAGCAAAACAAACTTCCTAAATATGTCGATAATGAAGAGCAGTTGGTTTAATAAACATTGTAAAATTTTGTTTTCCCAACAATAGTTTTTTTGAATCAACTAAAGCATACTTGTATTTTGAAGTTTGACGTTTGTTCATCTACTGAAAAATATATAATTGAGCCAACTATGGATTATAGTTGTTGCCCTCTATATATATAGTCAAATCAACTATAGGTTCGAGTTATCTCTAAAACAATTGAACAATATAGTTACTTTGACCGGAAAAATAATTTTGTCTGCTATAATTTGTTCTTCGTGTATATACACCTTTAAACCATAGAGGTAACTCTAAAACCAGAAGGTCCCGAAGAAACGAGCTCAACTTTTTGGCTCAGCTCTGGTACTATCTTCGGTCCCAAGCTAATCGATGCACTCCTAGAAACATAGGAAAATCTACTAACCCCTCATTTTATCTGTCAAACTTTCATAGCAAATCAAAACAAACATAGTGTAGTATTTTGATCTTCAAATATCCAAGAAATCAAATCACGTTTATTAGATATTCTCTCATGATACCAGGTTGCTCAGAAATTTTTCCGAAGACCATCAGGTAATCAGAAATCCCCATGTAACTTTTTCAATGATTCAGGATGATCAGGTATCATTCTGGAAATATCCAACTATCCAACAATCCTAATCAAATCGCTCATATATTCTCTCGTATGACACCAGGCAGCTCAGAAATCATTCCGAAAACTTCTCAACTGTCCAACAATTTAAATCACGTCGCTCAGATATTCACCCACGATACCAGGTTGCTCAGAAATTGTTTCAAAGGCCATCAGGTGATAAGTGATCTCCATAAATAATCAACAATCCAAATCGCATCCCTAAGATATTTTCTCATAGGGAAGGGGATATGGCTCTAATGTTGGCCTATGGATCTAAGACTGGGCCCATCGCTAAAAATCTGCTATTTATCAATTTTATATTGGGGAAATGACGGCTTCGGCATGACAGACTATTTTCGGCAACCCTAATTGAAACACTATTTTCACTGGAATTTCTTACGAAAACACTTCGCTGAATGCATGCAAACGATTCTTTATGCTTTCAGCTTCAATTTGACTATATTTTTACCACTTAGAAAAAGCAATCTAGCAAGGTTTTCTTGAAATGCAACACACGCACTACAAATTGTAGCTGATTTCGAGTTGCCGATAATAGAACAGCAGATTTACATGCAGTTCAAATGGAACGGTTGCCGAAGAAAAATTGGTTGCCGACAATACTCGCTCTCACTAGAGAAGATTGGAGCTTTGTAAAAGCGTTTCAAAACAGTTTTTGACAATTCTTTCGACTGAATTTGTTAGAGCTGCTGGCAGCAAAAGATTGTAAACAAACCAATACTGCATATGTGTGCGTTCCTTAGAGAAAAAGGCTATAGAAAGAAGGTCGCTGCTTAGGTTGCCGAGAATACGTAAATTCCCCTAGATGGTACGGTACTTATGGATATTTTTGGACGCTATTGAAAATTTAGTCGATTGCTGAATTTATGTATGGGCCCAAATTAGGGGCATTTAGGCCGACATTACATCCATTTCCCCTACCAAGCGACTCAGAAATTATTTCATAACCCTTCTGGTCGTGATCTCCATAAAGTTCTCAGGATTTTTTCAGTCTTTAGGTTGTTCAGGTACTAAACGTCATATAGTATTTCCAGTGAAAACTAGATGTATGAATACTGATATCAAGATAGGCTATATCTCGTTATATAGGTTGTAGTGTGAACGCAGTATAAAATGCCATAGAAAGGTGCGCTAAGATTGGACATTTATCATCACTTGTATCTCCTAACACATTTACGTTATAAATATTAAATATACAGGGCAACTGGTAGCTCATGATCAATCCGAAATAAGACATAGAAGACCTTAAAATATGAATAAAAAAACTTGTCCTCGTTTATACCCCAACTTCGGTTCTTTATATTGGAAAAAAAAAATTTTTTTTTTCGATATTTTATTTTTGAAAACATAGGATTTTATCTCGATTTTTAAAATCAAGATTTAAAGCAAAATATTAACTACACCGTTTGACACCAAACGAACAAATTGACAGCTCGCTGCCATAGAGATTGCTGACGTTTGTCGTACGTAGTATGCGTCACGTATACGTATACGCAAAATGTTTTCATCGGGAAAAAAAAACTTCATAGCGGAAAATTTTCCCGATGAATACAAATCACTTACACAATCATACTTTAGCAATCTCTATACAAAGTCCGACCGAGGGGCGCTATGATGGTGATGTTTGCTAATGTAATCACACTTATTCAAAATAGTTCCAGTGTACCCAAATTAATGATAGGGGAAATGGCTCTAATGGATCTAAGATTGGGCCCATCGCTAAAAATCTTCTATTTTATCAATTTTATCTAGATGAACGCTTCATTGGGACAGTACTAATGCATATTTTTGGTCGCTATTGAAAATCTAGTCGATTGCAGACTTTATATGTGGGCCCAAATTAGGGGCATTTAGGCCGACATTACATCCATTTCCCCTATGTAGTGAATTCCAGCAAAAAGTTATTTTACTGAACCCATTTCAGCAATTTTGTTTTTGCTGAAACGAAAATCGAAATTTGGTGTGTAACGACGATATTAAGGTTTTAATAATCGTAACCCTACTTTCGACCACATTTTCCACCACCTGCCTGGTTTTGCCACCACCCGCATCGGCCATCGCGGAGCTCTACATGTGGACGTGCTCCAGTTTGTTTACATTTTCCACAGCCCACAAAAGGGGTACTCCGATTGCATTCTTACTGGAAAAGTGGGTGGTCAGCTAATGGATCGGCTAACGGAAACCTGATTTTCTCACTTTGTTGAAGCAAGATAGCTTTGAAACTGAACCAAAATGCGATGATGTGATGCATGAAAGTATTAAAAACTAATTTGTAGGATCCTTTACATTGATAATAACATCATTCGAACCCGCTACAGACCACCCACAAAATCCAATAGGAATCCCCCCACAGTAAACCACCCATCAGCAGAAACCGATCGTGTCATGTGTCAGTGTATTTGTGCCGCCGGAGAGCAGCAGAGCAGCCATTCGCGAATCGTTCGTTGCCGTCGTCAGTTGTTCGCAAGGTGTCAAACGGTTCGGTCGTAGTTTTCGGTAAGTTCCCCAAGTCGCTGGAGTGTTTTTGTTGATCCCCCCAACAACAACGGGTTGAGAAAAGACGGTTGCGGGGGATTGGTGGTGAAGCTGCTGGAGTGTTGTTTTTTTGGTTCTTCTACTTGCTGGTACTGCTGAGCTGCTGTTGCTTATTTTACATCCAGTCAGTCGCCCAGAGAGAGAGAGAGAGTGGAGCAAGTTCAAAGTGAGTGAAGCAAAGGCTGACTTTTGTGTCGTCGTCGTTGGGTTGAGTTTGTGGAATTTGTGATTGCAAATTTGGGCGGTTTTTCGCGGCTTATCCTTCGGGTCCGGTAGGAAAGTGTGAACAAAAGTGCATGCCTTAGATGTGGTGTAAAATTTGATCGCAACTGGGTCGATTTTCCCGGGGGGAAAGGGCAAAACATGAGAGCCCATTAGCAGTCAGTCAGCTGAAGAAGAAGGTGTTAGTGGTGTGGAGCTCAGCTCAATAGAGGCGAAGTAGTGGTGGAGCAACAGTGCTACACTAGACGAAAATGGAAGAAGAAAACGAAACCAGCTGAATGATACCTGCTATAATAATGATAGTGGAAGTAGGTTGTGTACGAGGGAAGAAGCTAGAAGCGAGCATGTGTGGAATGTTCTAAAAGGTTTGCAGAATTAACATTGTGGCAAGCGGAACGAAGATAATGTTCACCTAATTTCGGTATAAGGAAATACCGAATGTGCCAGCAATTAGAAGAAGAGAAGCCTGTGCGACGACGATTAGCAATAAGCTGAGCCGAGCACGGCGTTGTCGATTCCAAAACAAGTTTCTGAAAGGTGGTGTACCCTTTCTGGGATGTTGGTAAAAACCTGCTGATCGGATGGTACGTCTGGTTTTGGGCAGGGTACCATCGCACGTCAAGGTCGACCTGTTTAATTCGGTAAATTCTAGGTTCGGTTATTGCATCGGTTCCTGGAATGGTTGTCATTTAGCTATAGATGGTTCAGTGCGAATTTACGTGGTTTCGTGAAATCAATTAAGGGGCAATCCTTGAATGCGGATTGTTTTTTTTTTAGATTTAAGACTCCCCTCCCCTTGCGTGGACAATCATCCATGCACATATTCAAGAATGTATATGCACCGTGTACATTCGTCTCTCCTCTCCCAAATGTAGCCCCCCCCCCCCTACTTGAACTATTCACGTGGTACTGTATCGATAGCAAAAAGTTGTTTCCAAATCCATAACAAATATTTTAGAATGAAAAAGGTGCATCAATTAATAATGTCGTGTCCTTCATAAGAAGTTAACTTCATACAAACAAATAAAAAAAAAACTATTCTTTTAGGTACTTTTATGATCTTATATTTTGTTTTTTTTTTTATAAATTTTGGACAGTGTGACAAAACAGATTTTTCGCACTTTTTGTACACATCATACAATATTTTTTGAAGTTGTTTCATGGTCTTAGTAGCTTTAGCAGTAGAGACTAAATTGATATCAATTCTGTACGTGTAATTAAACTTGTTCAGTTCTCAAATGGCGTCAAGAGAATCACTTGAAATTTTCTTGGAATTCTCATAAGACTCTCCTTAAAACGCTACTTAATTTTTCTTTTTGAAGCAATGTTCAAAATTTCCTCTATGAACCCCTCCGGAAATTCCATGAAACTATCTTTAAACTAGCATTTAACAATTCTGCAAAGATTTTTCAAATTATATCAAATGCTTTTGGAATTATTATCGATTGGAGCTCTCCTCAGAATTATCTGATTGATTAAGTGATTGAACAACTTTTAAGAGATGTTCAGCCGTACGTGGTCATTAAGGATAGCGTCTTGGAATTCACCTTTCAGGGCTGGTAGCAGGTCACTTTTTAGTAACTTGGTCACTATTTACAAGTCAGTCGCTAAATAGTCACTTTTTTCATCACTATTCCTTAAAATTTAGTCACTAAAGTCACTTTTTTACGACCAATGTTGAGAGTAAAGAATTTGATTTTTTAAACTCTGAGTAAAGTCTGACACGAAGAGTTGCGAACATATGGAAAGGTTTACTGTTGACGGAATCTAATATTTTGATTTTTTTTATCTTGAAATTGTCATAGACCCATCATAAACTTTCAGATATTTCGAAAAAAGTTCTAGCCTCAATATTCTGGCTATTTTACATTGAGATCTTGAAAGTTGTCCAAGCCTACACTGCACAAAAAGTTACGTAAAATTCACCTGAATAGGCACGTAGATATTTTCCATCCTACTTTTCAGGAGAATATTACGTGTTTTGGGGAGAGATTACATTTGAGTGATTCACATAAAAATCAATTGATTTTCACGTAAATTGTATCGGACTTTCCGACGATTAGCAAGTAAATGTTACTGGATTTTGTAGTAATGATAAAGTTAATTGATGGTTGCCTGTAGATATTCAATAATTTACAGTATTTAATAATTGGCAGTGATTATCTCGAAGTTGAAGTACATTAACCGTATAGTTCGTCAATTGCTGATTGTCAAAAACCTCGAACAATCAATTTCCGTAATTTATAAATGATTATTAATTTATAAAAATTATATATCTTGCGCTAGAAAACATGAAGAACCCTGGGAATCCCAACTCGTCGAACAACAACAAATGCGCACTTTCTTCTATCGCCATTTTTAAATTACGAATACGATGAGAAAATTTTCATGTTATGAAATCACGAAAAACTTACGTGAATTTCACTTAACCTTCACCAGCATTACATGTGGACTTGACCTATGAACTATTGACCTTATTGGATTCCTATTTTGAAGAGGCTATCTGATTTTTCAGGTAAAAATTACCTTTTCCGTTGGTTCAATGCATAATGTAAAAAAATGGTCAGGAAACTTTTCAACCTCTCGATATTTGTTCTAAAGCCAGAAATATGAATAATTTCTTGTTTATTAATTTATTTATTTGATAAGGCTCAACCGAATTAACTTTACAGAGCCGAGGATTCTTGGTCACTATACAATACATCTTAAAACTATAGTCAAAAGGTACAACACAATAAACACTTTATCTTCCGCTATCCAAAAAGCCTCCTCCATCAGAACTGGAGCCGCTTCCAGTAGTTTCATTGTATGGCAAATTGCTGTACGCCAACGAGGGTCAGAGCGCGTCCATTGCAGCAATGGACGCAAAACGTGGTCAGCACTCACACACTCATCACGAAACGGTTGCTTTCCAAAGTCGACGACGCATCGACCAAAAGAACTGCTGATGAAGAACAATGAGGAGGACCACACAATGGTTGCTGCCGAGAAAACAGACGATCGCGTAGCACACATCGAGAGTGGCCTGCTTTTGTCGACAGCCGAGTGAACACTGATATGAATAATTTCGTTAGCTTCAGTATTTTCCCAAACATAAAAAAAAAGTATGAAAAATATTAGAAAAACGGATGATTGGAACCATATCTTTCCGATCAATAAATGTGGTCACTATTTGATCACTATTTTCGTAATTTTAGTCACTAAAGTCACTACTATTATTTTTTTTTCCTGTATAAGCTAGTATGCAGCTAGAATTGTTTGTTGGGTACTCAAATATGAGTCAGATTCATTAGCCGTACAGTTTGTTTTGACGGCAAGATTGCCTGCACGCTATTTATAATCAATTGAAATCTGAGTAGGTAGGATCTACTCATATCCGTCAAACATAGGGCTACCCAAAATTGAGTAAACAAAGTTGGAACTGACAAGATGATAAATGAGCAACATTCTTCGGATTCAGCCATTCGTCATCTTTTCAGTCCAAACTTTGTTCACTCAATTTAGGGTACACTACTGTTGACGGATATGAGTAAATCCTACTCAAATTTTGTTTATGGCTTGACATTTTGCCTACGGGATTTTTCTTCAGTGGAGTGAAAGGATAAGAAACGATCCACTATGTTTCACGAAACTAACATTTGCTTATGGAGTTATCCTATAGGAGTGAACAGTTGCAGAGTCGTCGTCAACGCGAATGGTTTTACCAATACCAAGACAAAGAAGTTATCAAATAAACTTCGTAGGCCATAATTAAGAGTCTTAGACGTCCTTAATATTCGGCTCATACACAGTTAAAATTATTTTGTAATTTTACACGAATTTCCATGCACATAAAAAGAGCATGCATTTTCATGTAAAATTAAATTAGTTTTTAAATTTACACGACTTGAAATTTACATGCATGTAAAATTAAACGTCACTTGAATTTTACATGGATGGCTTAAGATGGGCTCACTTGGTAATTCTACAGGACATTTAGAATTACACGCATTTGGCTTTTTGAACGAATTTGCATAAAATCCAACTGATTGTCAAGTACGCGGAATTATCACCCACGTGGAATAACCAGCCTTCACGGCACAGTACATACCCCACACTTCCACCGCTGCATCAAATCGATCAGTCAGGAAAAAAAGGAACCACGAGCGCATTTTTGAATGTTTTTCTATTTTTTCCATACCCAATTTTTTTGATTTTCTGCACGAACTAAAAGTGCTCTCTGTATAAAACCGCTTTAATCAATATTTTGTCTGTCATCCATTTTCTATTTGTGGACGCGCGTATGCACGATAAATCGTTCCACATATCCAAAATTGAGCGCACAAAACAAACCGAGTGGAGAAAAAACTGATCGAATAATCGGTCCGTCCGCCATATTAGCATTCTCAATGTTTGTTGATTTAAATTTACACAATTTACAGTTGAAAATCCGATGTTCTTCGATAAGTTTTTACACCACGTGGTGATATTACACTGCAAGAGAAAATTAATCGAATAAACGTGTAATTTTATGAGTTTTATCATGATTTTATTATGTGCATGATTTTTAATGTAAAATTAAATTAAAACATAGTTTAAAGCGATGTAATTTTAAAATGGGTTGGTATACATGTCATGTAATTCCTTATTTTTTGCTGTGTAGTTATAAAACGCAAATAGCGTTAAATTTTCTAAATTTACAATAACAGTGAAAAGTGTGAGTAAAAGTATACTCCACAGTGCAGTCCACAACATTCAATTTTATCTTTTTTTTTTAATCAGTGTTCACTCGGCTGTCGACAGAAGCAGACCACTCTCAATGTATGTCACGCGATCGTCTGTTTACTCGGCAGCAACCATTGTTGTGTGGTCCTCCTCATTGTTCTTCATCAACAGTTCTTTCAGTCGATGCGTCGTCGACTTTAGAAAGCAACCGTTTCGTGATGAATGTGTGAGTGCTGACCACGTTTTGCATCCATTGCTGCAATGGAAGCGCTCTGACCCACGTTGGCAAATCTGCCATACAATAAAACCACTGGAAGCGGCTCCCGTTCTGGTGGAGGAGGCTTATTGGATAGCGAAAGATAAAATGTTTATTGTGTTGTACCTTTTGACTATAGTTTTAAGATGTATTATATAGTAAACAAGAATCCTCGGCTCTGTAAAGTTAATTCGGTTGAGCTTTATCAAATAAATTAATAAACAAAAAAGAATCTTTTTTTAAAGTAAAGGGTGTACCGTTTAATACCCGCACACACAAAATTCATTCTCAAAATTCGAGTTTTTATGCGATTGTCACCAAATTTTCAGGGAGGTAAAAGATACAATTAAGGTTAGTTTTGGCATCATTAATTTATTTTATTTCGCCTTTATATCCGAATGCGCGAACCATGGCCTTATCCCCAGCCATAAGGTTCTGTACGACCTCAGAATCGACAGTTTTTTTGATTATCACCCATGCTTTCTTCATTTCCTCTACATTCTTCACCACTTTAGGTGCTCGTTCATAATGGCCCAGTATTTTTCTATTGGGCGCAGTTCCGGAGTGTTTGGGGGGTTCAGATCTTTCGGCACGAAATCGGCATCATTCGCCTTATACCACTCTAGTACGTCCTTCGTGTAGTGACATGATGACAAATCTGGCCAGAAGATAGTCGGACTGTCGTGAGCCTTCAAGAGAGAGAGAGAAGCCGCTTTTGGAGACACTCTTCCAAATACACCTGTCCTTTTATGGTGCTTGCGGTAACGAAAGGTGTACTCCGCTTTCCGCGAATACAAATCGCTTTACAATTTAAGAACTTTTTGGCGAACTTCGACATCTTCTGTTTCCAGAGGTTCTCGTGAACATCACACTTATCCTTGGCAGTCACATACAGGTTTCCTGGAATCTGGTTGAAATCCGCCATCCAATATGTCTCGTCATCCATTACGCAGCAGTGTGGTTTCGTTAATTTCTGGTCGTAAAACTTCCGGGCAGGGCTTTGTGCGACCGTTGCTGTTTCTCGTCACGGTTTGGGGACTTCTGAACCTTAAATGTACGTAGTCCAGCTCGAGTTTTGGTATTCAACACGTTATATCAACTATAGTCTGAACCAAGGTGACACCAGTGGTCTCTGTTCCGCAATCTAGTGCCAATCACCAACGGACATCGAGTGCCATCCATTGACGGCAATCGAATGTGCTGGATGGCAGCTTCCACACCTGCGTAGGATATTGCACCCATTCAATACAAATGGGCCGGGACCAACGGCTTTATTTCCCTTCTGAAGGAAGACGTGATCAGAGATTTTTATGCCTCAGAAAAACAGGCTTGCTGAAACTCCTCAAACTCACTGGAGGATTTAAAACACTCTTGTCCTGCGAGTTTAGCCAGCCCTCACCTCGAGTGAGTAGCGGCAGGAATATGGAAGAAGTGAACAAAAACTCATCGAGAGATAGGGAGAGTGAACTTCAGCGAGAGGATGATTTGATGTGAGGTGCGCTTTTCGAGATTCCGGATGACTTTTTTGTTCGACGCAGAAGCTCAGAAGTTCACCCAGAGTGAGAGTGAGAGATGGTGATAGAAAACATGTAAATGAACGGCAGCAAACCTCACTCTCATTTTATCCCCCATTCGCTCACAAGCTCTGAAGCTCAGTGGAATGATTTGGCAGTAGACTCCTCAGAAAAATGCTACGCTCGGCTCCTTTCAAACTCGTGAGCGAGGCTCCATCAAGCCTGCAGAAAAATCCCACCGACCTCGGCTGGGATTAAACCATTGGGGTGAGAAAGCAGTCACGCTTACCACGACACCACAGGTGCCGGCTATGACATCAGTCTAGGCGTGTACACTGAAGCAAATGAATGTAAGAATTCCATAAGAACCACTTATGAATTTTAGCCACAAGAAATCGGTATGAATTTCAATGATTTACCTTATGAAAAATAATGTCGACAAAAAATAATAACACGGAGAAGACCGGAACCGAACCATCAACGTTGAGATTAAGGGTCCTGTGTCTGAAACATTCGTCTGTTAACGCTTGGGAATATGGAATTGCTAAAGAAGTATAAGAGCTACCTCATGTTAGACAAAAATCTTTCATAAATCACACTTATGAAACACATATGTGTCGTTCATAAGTCGAGCCTTATGAAATTATTAAGTCTATTTCCCTCAGTGTTAGAATGCATAATACAGTTAATGCTGTCTGCCACACCTTTTATTTGACTAAACTTATGAATTAAATACATGCAGAAATCATAATATCACGAATGGTTTTAGCCACCCTTCTCACCGGGAGAGGGTATTACTGTTGCGTTTTTTTAAAACATATGGGAATTCGAGAAGTGGACCATTTTGTTAATTTTTAATATTTGCTAGCATGTTACTAAAAGCGAAGACATCATATCAAGAAGACTGACAACTTTGCCAAAATCCAAGCGACAGATACAGTAGCGCTGCGTTTGAGTGAAGGTGGAAGCAACGCATAGAAAAATGAGCAAATACACAAACCTTTCTTCTGAGGATGTAATCTTTGCTATCAAATTCGTTCGAAGCATTTACCTTTGAGCGGCAGATTGTACCTGTATCATAGCGTTCGTATGAGAAAAAGGAAGAGTTGTCAGTCTTCTTAATTTGTTGTCTTCGCTAAATGGTAAGTCCTTTCAGTTTATGACATTATTTTTTTTGTATGACCAACGCAGTGTAGTTTTTCGTTAGTGCAATAATGCGTCAAGATCATGGCGCCTACAAATAGAAAAATATGAAAATTTAACTAAACTTTCTAATGTGTTTATGTTGAAAAAAAAACAATGTTATTCACTATAAACTTGTTTATCTATAAAAAAAAAAATTAATTTAACCTACCGTATGTTTGGCTTATTGATTTTGCGTTTTTCTCGGTTTTCCCGGCTACTTTTCAAATTACCGGTTATTCCCCGTTGAACCCCATCACTCCTCAAAAACCCAATTAAAAAACTCTGAAATTGCTCGACAAACACCAAGGAGTGTTAACTTGTTTTGGAAACGTCAACCCCATGTTTCAAGCAAACATCTGTGGTACTCTTACTGTAAACCACCGCAGCTCAGCTTAAAGTTAATACATACAGCAAACTCACGGAATCCCATCCCATCCCCACCAACCAAACGGAAAGCAATAGCTTCCCGGAACACAAGAGAAAAGCAATGCTCCAACTCGCCCGGCTCTCGAAATTAAAAGTGCGTTTTGTTACTCCCTACTTTACAGCTGAAATTTCGTCTGTGACCAACCAACTTGAGTAGAGAAAAGTGTTTTCCAGCGCAGAAAAGATAAAAGAAAAAGATATACCTTGTGTCTGTGCAGAAAGTCATATGTAATTCACGTACCGTACGAAGAAGAGGAAGAGAGAGATAGAGGGAGTGGGAAAAACAAGTTTTCCAAAGTGCGAAGCATCAAGCCAACATACACCTATAATGCGAGAAGAAGACGTATTGTAGTAGATATTGTGTGCTAGCAAATATCAGAAGAATAAGAATAAAAGCGTGTTTGTGTATGTTTGCTATCCGTGTTTGTGTATGTTTGTGCTTCCTGCGTGTTATATAATTGCATCGGGGGCATTTATCACCTACTCCTCCTGGCTTCCAGGCAACAAGGGCCTCGTCGCAGTCAGTCAGCGCCACCCACTCGCCCAGATTGACTGAATCAAGTTGGGCGAATGAATATAAACAAACATTTCAATTTACTGAAGCTAAAATATTAATTGAAGTTCGAAAAGTGTGTATTTGTGTCTGGCGAAGGAAGAAGGTCAAGATCATCGCCTCTGTGATCATCAGTTTTATCGCTTATTGCTGCTGCTGCTGCTGCCGGTGCTTCTGTACGTGAGAATAGTGATCGTCGTTGGATACGTATAGCTACGACCATTTTACTACCGCTACAGCGAGTGGACAATTGTCCCCGGTAAGTGTGCAGAAACAATAACAATATGCCGCACATTATAATTTTAATAATCAATTAAGCCTACCCCACCGCCACCGGTGAATGAGCTGGGTCAGGTTGAGGTTTTTTATGAGAGCTAATAAAAGTGATGGAGGGTCGAAATGATTGACGTTTTTAGGCAGCTACGCCAATCTATTTATTTGTTGACTTTTTTTGTTGGATGACATTGCTAAAAATATTTCGATCCTGGAATGCGTTCCAATGAGCAAGTTAATTGCAAATGTGACCTGCGTGACAGTGATGAAATCGATTTAATTTTTTTGATTTATAAGGCATGTTTAACATATCATTATCTCTTTGAACCAGGTCTATTAAGACCGTCGCTTTTATATATGCTTTGCTAAATCTAGGTAAGCATTTTTTGTATTATACTTACTTTAACACATTTTAGGTCATTCGTAATGAGATTTGAACTCGTGACTTTGGCGTGGGAGGTATGGTTGTTAACCACTTCGCTGGGGCCGTGCTCACTAAAGTGTGTTCCATTTAGAATTTGGTCTCCAAGGGAAAATAACGCTAAGGGTGTCATTTTGTAGGTTTTTTTTTTAGCTTCAAGGAAAAAATACATGACAAATTATTCGCTTACTTTTTCTCGGATGAATTTTTGAAATTTTCACTGAATACCTCCCATCATGTCTTGCACAGTAGTACTGTCAACCTTATCTGCCATCTTTTTCCACCACTCCTCCAAATCAGATGGTGTTTTGATTGTTTGCCACATTTATTCAATTGCCCAAAATGTTTCGATGGGGCGAACATCTGAATGGTGGATGAGTACTTTTTTCAATAAAATCGACATTATTCTGCTTATTTCAATGACATCGCTGATGTAATGGCAGCTGGTTAAGTCGGCCCAGAACTTTATGGGAACTTCGTGTGACTGAAAAATGTCAAAATTCTATTCTGACACTGGCGTGCAAAGGGTGGGGCAAGGTGGGGCAATTGCCCCACCTTTTATAAATAAGATTTTTATTTCCACATTTACAAAATTATGACATAAAATAACTTGATTTCTTGATAACTTGATTTGAAGGTAAAATAACTTCATTTCATAATATAAGAACACTAAAAACCTTTGAGATGGTGCCTGAAAATAGCACCACAAAGGTGCATGAAGAGACAAACTTCAATGAAATTTTTTGGTCAAAAAATTGCACCACAGTGGAGTGGTGCATACAAAAAATTTCTGGTGCAAGAGAGTAAATTTAAGGTTGAAAAAATTCACCTTCGTGATAGTAAATCGAAAAAATACCTTTTATTGAATATTTCTGGTGTAAAAATATCATCAAGGTGGTACATGGAGGAACTAATCAAAATGAATAACTCTGGTGGAAAAATTAAATCACGATGTTTGGCGTGCACATTTAACTGAAAATTTTCTGGTGGAAAGTTCGCCTTAACTGTGGTAAAAGTAAGGTTTATTCATTTTTCTGGTGCATAATTTGCATCGTTCTGATGAATGCAAGCTTCATTGACAATTTGTGGTGGAAAATTTGCATGAAGAGGCAAAGTCTGAAAATTGCACCACAAAGGTGCATGGTGAAACAAACTTCACTGACAATTTTTGGTGCACCGTTCTGGTGAATGGAGGAGCATGCTTTACTGAAAATTTATGATGCAAAATTTGAATCACTCTGATAAATGAAATGAACAGAAAATGTCAGGTGGAAAACTTGCACTGGTCAGGTAAATGAAGGCACAGGCTTTATTTAAAATTAAGCTATATTGAAAATTTCTGGTGGAAAATCTGCACCGTTCTGGTGAACGGATGGGAAAGCTTTTCTGAAAATGTTTGGTGTTTAATTTGCATCCTTCTGTTGAATAGTGAAACAAATTTCAATAATAATTTCTGGTGGAAAATCTGCACCATTCTGATGATTGGAGGGAAGCTGCTTTATGATGAAAAATCTGAAAATAGGGGCAAGCTTTATTTGGTGGCAAACCTGCAACATTCTGATGATAGGAGAAGCAATCTATATTGAAAATGTCTGGTGAAAAATGAAAAAAAGGAAATGTGCACCAATCAGATGATTGGAGAAGCAATTTTTATTGAACATTAACGGTGGAAAATTTGCATCGTTCTGGTCAATTGAAATTTTCTGGTGTAGAATTACCTGTGGACAAGTTTGTATTGAAAATTTCTGGTGTAAGATTTGCAACAATCTACTGCATGGATGAGGCAAGCTGAATTGAAAATTCCTGATGTAAAAATTGCACAGTTCTGGTGAATGGAGGGGCAAGCTTTATTGAACATTTCTGGTAGAAAAACTACAACGTTTTGGTGAATGGACGGACAACTTAAACTTGACTTCCAAGAAGAACCTCAAGGGTATTGAATTCTGAAGACAGTTCCAAAAGAAAAAAAATCTGAGATTGATTTCATGAAAATTCTGTATATTCTAGTGAATCCTGCAGATAGGTCTAAGATAATTTTGAAAATAATACCGAGAGAATCAAATTTTGAATGAAATTCCAAAGGGATGTTGAGGAAAACTTCAAGGGAATTCCGAAGATAATTTCAAGCTCATGCTGGAAATAATTTCTGGAGAATACAGAGGAAATTCTTCTGAAACTTTATGGGAATTTCAGTTCCAAGGTGTTCTGAGAAAAAAAAGTTCAGAAATATTCCGAGAAGAACCTCAAAGATATTGAATTTTTAGGACAGTTCCAAAATATTTCTAGAGAGAATTCAAAGAAAATTATGCCTCCTGCAGATAGTTCCGAGATAATTTTGAAAAGAATACCGAGAAAATCAAATTTTGAGTGAAATTCCAAAGGGGTTTTAAGCAAAATTTCAAGCGAATTCCGCGGACAATTTCTAGCTCATTCTGGGAAAAATTTCTGAAACTCTAAAAGAATTTCAGTTCCAAGGTGTTCTGAGAAAAAAGTCATGAAGAATTCTAAGTATAATTCCAGTGGACTTCTGAGAAGAATTTCAAAAGAGCTCTTAAAAGAGTTCTAAAAATATCCGAGAAGAACGTCAAGGATATTGAATTCTGAGGACAGTTCCAAAGGATTTGTGGGGAGTATTCTAAGAAAACTCTGCGAATAATTTCTAGTGAATCCTACAGATAATTTCAAGATAATTCCGAAAAGAATACCGAGAAAATAAATTTCTGAGTGAAATTCCGAAGGAATTTTGAGGAAAATTTCAAGGGAGTACCGATAAGTTCTAGCTCATTCCGGGAATAATTTCTGGATAATACTGAGGAAGTTCTTCTGGACTCTAAGGGAATTTCAGACCCAAGGTGTTCTGAGTAAAATTCAAGAAGAGTTCTAAAAATAACTCCAGAGGATTTCTGAGAAGAATTTTAAAATATCTCATAGAGTTCTAAAAATTTTGAAAGGAACCTCAAGGAATTCTGAGGCTAGACTTTTTCGCAACTGTACAAAGTTTAAAGACAGCTTTTGGATTCCCTAATTAAAAAGTGGGTATTAGTTTGCCATTGAACCTTGGTCTCTTGTTGTCTTACTAAGAATTCGTCTAAGTATCATTTCGGTTAAAGCCCTACTATTGCAACCATTTGACGAACCGATCATCATCGACATCGTCGATGAGATTAAATTGCCAATTCCATTGGCTGTCTGAAAACAGTTTGCATTGCAGAAGATGAACCACCACCAGGGCAAAAAATAAATAAAATTAGCTAAATTGAACAGTAGGGAAACAGTTGTGGGTGGATTACACTATCCACCACGCACTTTGGAGTACTCCCCATCCCCAGATTGAATGCACCATAGAAAAAAATGCCCCTCCTTAACAAGATTCCTATACAGTGAATTCTGGACACATTCCTTCTTGTTAAGTTGTCCATTCATAGTCGCTCTTGTGAAGAAAACCTTTGTTTTCTTTTCACAACAGCCTTGCCAAATCATCATGTATTATTATATATATATTTTTTTATTATAGTCACTTTAACGGTCTTGGGTCATTCGTGACTTGTCCGGGGGTGAGATTTGAACTCGTGACTTTGGCGTGAGAGGTATGGATCTTAACCTCTACGCCGGGGTTGCCCCCTGTTTTCACCACTGAATAAATAATCTCCAGATCAGAACGCTATCAACAATTTCTTGCTACGATAACTAGAGATGCTACTGTAATTAAAAAGAAGCGGCCTACTAACATGACCAGACTTTAGCAGGATATAGTTTTACATGTTAAAGCGAAATTTGTGCAGTGCTATTATATATTTGAAAAATCTTTAATTAATTATCAATCCTACCGAGTTTTCTGGGCCATTGACATCACTATCTTAACACTCAACTTTTACAGTCCTTGACAATTTCACATTTTTTTCAACTGTTCAAAAGTGTGTGAAAATTATAGTAATTGAAAATTGTTACAGCTGTTAAAACTTGCACGGCCGAATCTGACTCATAGTTGCAGAACTGTGAACAGGCGCGGATTTCGCAAATTTCGCGAATTTCGCGAATTTTGCGGATTTCGCGGTTTTTGCGGGTTTGAACTTTCAGTCGTGAAAATCGTGGAAACTTTAAATGGTGTGTGTGTATTCCCTCTAACCCCCACTGGCAAGCAGTGTTATTATGGAAGAACTCTCTATACAATGTCGCATTTATGGTCATTGTAGTCAGATTTAGTCCGGGAGTTAGAAAGTGATAGCTATATTACAGATCCAGCAACCCATTTCAGAATGTCTGGAGAGTCACGCCCATTCCGAGGTTACTTTCACTTACAATAAGCACCGCATGTATGTATTACCCCTATCAATTGGATATTAGTATTACACACACACTTCCAGCTTCAAAATGTTCTTTTGAATCCTGGCACGTATTTAGTTTATGTTTTTTTTTAATTATAAAAAAGTATTTGGACTGGTTTCACCATGTCAATCTGATCCTCCAGTCCATGGCTTCCGTAGTTCCGAACACACATTTTCTTGCACTGCCATGCCTGAGAGGAAGTTCGCGTCTAGTGCTTTCCCCAGGAACCATTCGCGGCC